AAAGAACAGGAAGTAGAAAAGTAGGAGAGGCTGTGTTCAGGCTGTATTATGTGAAAGAAGAAAAAAGAAAGAAAACAATTTAGAAAAGATCTCTCTTATAAGTAGGCAGGAGTCTCCTTCATCTTGAGTTTTTCTCACCAGGTGACAGAAGTTCCATCACCCAGGACACTTTGCACCTCCTCCCTGCATCTCTGTTGGTGTTCAGGGTGCGTGGCCAGAGCATAGAAGATCCAGGAGAGTCCACTGGCTGTGGTGTCATGGCCCTCGAACATGAATGTGTCCACCTCAGCACGCAGGTCCTCATCAGACAAGCTCTTTCCATCCTCCATCTGAGTAAAGGCACAGGTAAGAGCAACGTTGGTATCTAATCTGTGTTTCTGGACCAAACCTCATCCCTGAACTCCACTCACTTTGGCAAGCAAGAGGATGTCCAAGAAATCCAGGCGCCTCTTCTTCTTGACCTTCTCCAGCTCTTCCTCGTTCTGAAGCTGAGCTTTCCTCATCTTGATCACTCGATCTACTCCATGATAGCATTTGTCAGAGAGATATCAGAGCTTTTGTAATTCACAGGATCCCTGAGCCCAATCTGCGTGTCCCAGAGAGCCCAGAATACATGTGCATGTGGGAGTCTGGTCATGAGTAAAGGCTGCACAGTCTCATATCGGCAAGACTCCAATCAATATGATGGGCCACAGAGCCATGTCAAGGGCTGTTGCATGGATCTCCTGCAGTGCCACCAATGCAATGTAATGAAACTGGGAATTCGTGTAATTCTTGCTCCCAGAAGTTATATCTCAGTAGTGACTAACATGAGTCCTACAGAGGCTTCTGGTAAACTCACTGTGTCTGAGATGTATAATCATATCTTTGCAGTGAGCCTGATAAAGGAAGAAAGGGGTGGAAAGGCAGAACCTGTGTGCTCATGTGCAAGCTGGCAGGCATGGTGGAACAAACGGCCATCAGAGGACATTTTGTAGATGGTGTTATTCCAAAAAAAGACACTCCTTATTCGATGGAAAGTCAGGTTGTTCAGATCCTCAACAGCCTTAGTGTAGGACCTGGAATTTCTGAGTATAAGAGATACAATATACTGGTTATGGGATTGTCTGGCCCAAGAATAGAGTGGGCTCTATAGTCATCCTTTCAACTGTGGGACACACAACACCAAGGCCCACATCACTTGTGTCTTATAGGTATTTGAATCCTTGAGCATTTAGAGAATGAGCTTCTACACTTGCTAGGGTTCTACTATGTCTCGTTGGGGCTGGCTTGATATTAGAGCTTAGCCTAGGCCTGGGTGAGAACCTTGCAATTGTCTTTGTTACCACATACTTCTTACTAAGCCCCAACATATTGGTAAGTCCAAATATGACAAATGCATATTTCACTCACTCATCCACCTGGACACTGCCCTGGTAACTGAAAGCACACTTCATTACAGTGTCCAGTGTCATCATGGAGATGTAGTGAAAGACGTCCA